TGAAGCCACACAGTACTTTTCAACTCATCTAAAAAAAACAACAGAAAAGCATTGATGCAAAGCATCACAGGGCGTCCAAACATGAAATGCTGCAAGTGAACTAGTAGACATCTGATGACCAGATATTCTTATAAAATTTTCAATGGTTAATTGTTTTTTTACCAGAATTGTATAATATTTATAAATGGTCGGACGAAAGACATAATATGTTTGCATTTCATTTCCTACAAGATTCTCCAGTCCATAGCGTGACACGAATGATCGTTTCGTTAAACTAAAACTACTTCTATAAATAGATTTTCGGACTTTCACAAAAGTTAAAGTCATCATTCTATTTATAGGTACAGCAATCTATAATGACCCACTGTGTACTAAAAAACCCGAGGATTAATTGACATTACGCCGCCTGTTAATCAAAATGGCAGGGGTCTTACAGATAAGCCAGTCGGCAATCGTTATCAGTTCCACGCTAAGATGTCTGCAAAATCCGCCATTTTCCTTAGTCAAGTTGGAATCAGTCCACAGTTATTTGCCTTTCGTTGACCACAATACGGAAGTAAATCCGCATCAAAGAGTACCTGTGTTTAATGCCAGATATAAATGAATAATTGAATGAAAAAGATATTTTCTGACAGAATTCATTTCAAACAGTTGGTACATGCCAATTTTGATCCAGATTTTATGTGAGTAAGTATTTATAGTGGGTTTTTTCTACATGACAGAACTCACATGGTTCCGGATAATTACTGAAAACTGTCCTACTGATGTATTTTGAACTGAAATGCTGTAAAAAAATGCCGCATGACCCCTAGTTTGCTATAGCTGGAATTATTTATATTGGATGGTATTGTAAGCACAAGTGACTTTGATTTGATTGGAGAGTTAGTAAAATTGCTACAGGGTTTAATGTTTATATAGAACATATAGTGAAAATAATTGTGGTCTGAGGCCAGCTATTTGTATAAGACAATGGTGCAGCAGTATTTATATTGAATTTTTTTTGATTGCCAATTTAAAGCTATTAAGTCGGTATATCAAAATTACCAACTATCCTGACATATTGACATAATTATGGAGTCAGTTAGTTCATTTTACAAAAAAATATCAGTGACTTTGTATATATCAAGATAATAAGTTATATAGCAGGTACAAAAGCAGAGACATAGATATTATCTAGATGTTATCTACATCTCTGACGATAATTAAAATAGAGATAAATAAAGAGTCTCTGAAGAACGTGCAAAACGGCAAAATTGAAAATGTTGCAGGCTTGGTTTGATTGCGCCTGTTCATTGACGGTAATGGAATGTGCAAGTGACCGTCCTCGCCCCCTAGCACATATTTAAGCAGTATTGACCTGGTAAAATTTTGAAACATCCGCAGATGTGACCATACAGCGGTTATCATGGAACCTACAATGTGACACGTTTGTGCCATTCCATGAAAAGCGGCATATGGTCTCGAAGTTTAAAAAAATGCGTTTGTCCTAAACGAGAAAACAATGGGCGGAGCTAAATAAAATGGAGTTTTGAGTGGAGATCAGAGGTTATGAAGCCTGGTTATACCATAAAGCATTAAACAAGGAAAAAAATTAAACAAATGATCTATGCTTTCCTTTATTACAATTATGTCTATTCATAATCACATACTACATTTTAAGGTCTGATATGAAATTGTTGGTCCTTTATAACATAGAGTCAATAAAATGCTGCAGTAGAAAAAAAGTACTTGCAAATAAAATGGGAGACTACGCAATGAATATTTTATGTGAAATTAGCCTACCTAATTATTTCTATGAAGCTCAATGAATTAAGATTAAATATTTAGATACATCTGCTTCAAAAACACCATACCTGATCACGGTCTTAATTTAAAACCGAGGTCTCACCGTCTGGTGTAAGCAAAACTTATTTTGAAGTGAATAATATTGCGTTTTATCACGAAACATATTTAATGTGCAATCACACATATAATCAAATATTATACTACAACGTTACGCAAGGGCAATTTTCTCATTCAATTTTAACAAATTATGCACAAATGCATTATATATCATTGATTTTGCAATAAAACCCTAAAAACATTTGTAGGTCTTACACGTAGCAGATTTCTTATTAATATGTCGCTGTACAAAACATGAAAACTATTTGCAGAATATCTGTGTTTAACAAAATGTGTTTATTTATCTCGTTTCTTGTTTTTTTCTGGATAAATTTCATTTATTATACTGGATATTTGGCTAAAATACGGGTGCGTATCATATAAACATATTTTCTTAATTAAATAATTTATATATTAAAATTCACATCAGCATTTTGTTATTTTTTTATTTTATTCTTATTCATCTATTTATTTTTTATTTATTGATTAATTTATTTATTTGTTTACTTAAACAACTTTAATATTCAAGAAAAACAGAGTAACTTGGTAACGACAGCATTGATGTAAGATTGTGATATTAAGTAAGGAAATATAGAATAAAGTAAAGTTTTGGCAGGTTAAGTGAGTGAGTGAGTGAGTGAGTGAGTGAGTGTGTGAGTGAGTGAGTGAGTGAGTGAGTGTGTGAGTGAGTGAGTGAGTGAGTGAGTGAGTGAGTGAGTGGGTGAGTGAGTGAGTGAGTGAGTGAGTGAGTGAGTGAGTGAGTGAGTGAGTGAGTTGGTGAGTCAGTGAGTCAGTGAGTGAGTCAGTCAGTCAGTGAGTCAGTCAGTCAGTCAGTCAGTCAGTGAGTCAGTGAATGAGTTATTTCCGTACTGTGCAGCGTTATAATACAAGCTTTAAAAATTGTATACTCAATATATAAAATATTTAATGTACTAGAATATAGAAAATCCACAATCTGACGTTCAGAAAATCAGCAAGATGGATGCAAGCAGATGTCAAATTTCTGTTAGGTAACAAACTTTTTTTTACAATTAATCTACTCGTATTAATACATTAAAATATTCTTACAAAAATTCAGTAACATAACATATAACAAGCTTACCAATTCACTCAAGGAATAAAGATAAAAACTATTATGTTTCGCTAAAATGACAAGTTAATTAATTAATAATTAGAATATTCTCGTGTTATAAAAGTGAACTTTGTATATTTGGCTTAATACATTTATATTTCGTTTAATACCGACAAATAAGTGTATGACATAAATGTAAGCTATTTCGTTATATTTTGAAGATTTTCAAAGCCAGTCGATATCGTTTTCACATGGGTGAATGGGAGTGACCAAGCGTTCATCAATACAATGCTGCAGTATTTACCAGCGTATGTGTGCTAATATTTTCTGAAAAATGTGATGTTTTGTCATTTTGTTAAGGCACATTAAGCCTGGAGCATTTTTTTCTGTAAATGAAAACGAATATATTGCGAACATGAAGTATAATTATCACGTGACAAAAGCAGTGTTACTTTATTAAAAAAGAAATTCAATGGCTTATTTCAGAGTACATTCGGACAGTATAATCATGCGTACATAATATGTTATACAGTCATATGGTCAATGTCAAAACTTTTTTCCCCCAGGATCCCGCCAAGCGAAAAGTTTAAAAGAATTAACAAGTTAAATTGGCGGGGGCGCGGAGCAAAAATACGCTTATTAGCAGGGGTGCGAGGCAAGATTTAAGAAATAAAACGGCGGGTCGCGGGGTACAAACACGAATGGCACAGATCAGCTACCATAAGTAACTGCTTTTTAAAGAAAAAGCTCATGTTTATCTGAGAATAAATGTTGTACCGTCTGATCTTGGTTTGCACCAATCGAAATTCTTTTTTTTTCTCCCCTAGAGATAATGAATAAGTTTGTCCAGATTGAAAGATCGACAACTTTATTTAAAGAAATATATTTAGCTTAGTTATAAAATAATTAAAAACATCACAACCATATTCGTTATGATAATCACCATTCTAATCATCAATGATGATGATGATGATGATGATGAAGACGGTCGATATAATCCTGCTTTTTTTGTCAATGGTGGTCGTTTTATGATTTAGTTATTATGTAGAATAATGGTAATGTGTAAGTATTTTGATTACGATGACGGTAAAGATGATGTGACATATACTTCAATTTTTGTTATTGATGTAATTTTACTATTTATATGTTCCGCTACTTCAATTTTTGTTATTGATATAATTTTACTATTTATATGTTCCGCTTCTTCAATTTTTGTTATTGATATAATTTTACTATTTATATGTTCCGCTTCTTCAATTTAAACTATCTTTGAATTTCTAAACTAAAATGATATTTTGTCAGAAACATCTTCCTTTAAGTCAACGAGATATAACAAGATTTTTGCCAAACGTTTTAATAATACAGTAATTAATGCATGAATGCAGATATTAGTAATTTTTTTTAAAATACCATAATATATTGAACTATCCAAGAAAAGCATTAACATTTTATATATACCAATTGTATAAGGTAAATTCGTTAGTCACTTTAGCGGCATAATAGTTTCCTGCAAACGTCGATACCCTGTTTTGTCTAAGGTTCTGAATGACCGAGTCACGTGAATCAGTGGGCGGAGCAATCTCTTCTCTGGATTAATGTCAATTGATGGATAAGATAATTTCATTTGAATATGTTTGCATTTCGAAATTCTCCAGTTCGCTATTCATTGTACATATCGCGACATTTCATGTTTGATAATCAAACACCCTCATACCAATCCGAATGATCGGCTATTATGACCGACGAAAAGGCCCGAGAAATTGCATTTGCCCTTTCACAAAATATGATTTCATTCCATAAGGGGCGTCGCGTTTCGGCGCGGACGCCAAAAAACAAAATAATACATACAAATTAATTTCTTCCAAACGAATTTGTATCCTTGTTTCTAAAAGTAAATAAATGGATAGATTACAAAAGAATTAAAGTTTTATTACAGTGCAATGCAACAGCTCTTACACCAATGCGCTTCGTCCAAATGCAAAACAGTTCCCCTTTAGGTTCAGACAACGTGTTTTACCCATTATGATAATTTTAGCCTGGTTCCACGATGTTAAATCGTAAACCTCAGACAGTTGCACAGTCCATTAATTGTGTACGTAAATAAGAAAACATTGTCTTTCCATTTCAAGAAATGTAAATGAAAAATGCAACAAAGCAAAAAAAATAAAATTGGTCCTGAAGTGTAAAGCAAATGTATGCGAATGTTTTGTGTACTTGTATTTCTATTGATTAGTCGTAAAACAGATCGTGTCAGAAAAAAAGAAGTATTTGTTTATCTTCCATAATTTACCTTGTATTTCTAATTACTGATCGGTCAATATCCACTCGTGTGGCGGGACTGGTCCCTACGATTTAGCATACAAATAACACTCTGCTTCAATCAAATATTTATTCACGGTTTTGTACATCAAATTGACTTTCTATATTATCTCTTATATTTATGGTTCTGAAAATATATTAAAATACATATATGAACAGAAAATATATATTATCAATTCAGTTCATCATATTATAAATTATTACATATATTATTATTATTTACATAAAACATATGCAGCTCAGTGGTCCCTTTTAATCATAATTCATCCATATTCATTTATCAAAAATATAAGATATGTTATCAAAATACAAATTACATAACTTACACACGTCCCTATCATACATATTTTTACAAATTACTCAGGTTACTCACCAAACTTAAGGAGTCTGTAAACCTTTATATTTATCTTTCTATCACACATATCTTTCTTCTCCAATACTAAAACTGGTGCTGTTAAACAGGAACAAATTAGATATTAAGTATTATGCATTAAAAGATTTGAGATCCGAAACTAGTTATATTAGTTAAATTAGAAGAAGAATAGGAAGTTCGGTCATCTCAAAATGTCAAACATTTAGAAGGTATAAATTCAAATAAAAAGCCAAAATAAGTGAACATTAAAATACAGGAATGATTAAGCAATACAGCATAATATATTTAATGTAAGAAATTATCCTTTACTTAAATATTTAACTATAATTAAAGATGAATATCTAACCCACGCCAAAAACCGCCTTTTCCTCACGCTGACCAAATTCGCTGAAAGTAATAAATAACAAAAAGATGTATTTCGGACCCTACTACACTCGTTTACATTTTTCTGATATGAAGTGACAATTGAATATCTTCAAGTAGCATCCAATTTCTGTTTGTTTTTACTTTAGAAGCAGTGAGATAACAGCAAAACGATGCCGAGATTGGAGAAATTTGAGATATGCTTTACGATCTGTAGAGAAGTATGCCGATTGGATCAACCATGTCTTTCTTGTAACAAATGGCCAGGTACCAAATTGGTTAAACACTGGGTACCATAAAGTCTCCATTGTGAAACATTCTGTAAGATGATTGAAATAAGATAACGTCTTAAGTTTTTTTGCTGTTTTTCTGTTTATGTTTATGTTGTTGTTGTTGTTGTTGTTGTTGTTGTTTATCACAGTTGCTTTTATTTCGCATCAACGATGTAAAAACTGACATGTTGATAAGTGTTAGTTCTTTAAACAAGAATACCTTGGTGAAAGATACGACCTAAAATTAAGACAAATCCAGTCTACTTTGATCACTTAGAAGTACATGTAACGGTTATAAAGACATTTTTTACTCAAAATTGCAGAAGATTTTGAAACAACTGATTTAAAACAAGCTCTTTTTGCAATCATTACAATTATAGTGATTTAGTATATTATGTGGAAGTCAAAGTATAATTTTGTTTATGTTTTGTTGCAAATTATATCACAACCGACACTTCTTACATGCGGTGATAATGTTATTTTCTTTAAATTTCAGTTCATAATCAAGACAATGTTAAGCATAGGTTTTCGCCTTTCTTAATAAACGAAAAGCATTAGTTTATGAGGTAAACTTTACAACATGATATTTTTTCTAATCCTGAAACATTATGTTTCAGGAAATGTTTAGAAACTTAAGTCACCTGCCCACATTTAATGCTGGTGCTATCGCATGCCATGTTCATCGTATACCAGGTCTGTCTAAAAGCTTTTTGTACATGAATGATGATTTTTTCTTTGGCAAATCAGTTGGATTTGAGGATTTTTATACCAACGAAACAGGCTTCAAAGTAAGTGTATAAATATATTTAATTACAAAAGACAGTTGTATTTTCATTTAGAAAGTTCTTTTTCTCATAAATTATATGCATAGTGCAATAAGGGAAATGTTAAGTCTCTTGTAAAGTTTCTACAATTACCTAACATCCAATAAAGGGTTTCGGCATATATTCAAATATTGTGAAGCTCACTGAAAATTAATCCTATAAATATAACATTGTGAATATTTCTTTCATCAATTAACAGATCAGATTTGGTGCTAAAAAGGTTCCCAATTACATGGACAAATGTAACAAATTTAACTTAAACAGAAGCCATATTGAGAAGTTTTGTTATAGCAGTGGTTGCAAATGGAATGGCAAATATTGTTTCCCAACCGAGCAGGCACAGTCTAGATTAATAATGGGATTTAACGAACCATTTCATTGGAGTCTTGTGTATACTTCAATAGCATTTGACAAAGCGTTTGAACATGCGCAACGAGGAGTTCCGGCACATGCGCCTTACATTACTGACGTAGACACAATGGACGCTTTACAGGATCGGTAAAGTACTAATATAAATTTAGATAAATGTTTAGAATGATGTCAAAATATAAATATTCAAAGCGGTGTAATTGATAGTGATTTGTTTATACAATGACCAGTGATTCTTGCTTCTTACATTTATTTATTTTATGCTTTTCAGTGGATTACTGATTTATCCGTGAAAATTATATTTGATTATTTCACAGTGAAAATTATCAAAATATAATTTCACACTTTTCAATGACGAAACTACTTTTTTAAGATTTTTCCCACGTGGTACCTCAATTTTATTTTTGCTAACAATTCTGACAATGTCAGGCTGTTTAAAGAAAACGCAAAGCTGAAATTGATAAATAACTTAAATGTCAAAAGTAATAAAAAGAAGAAAACTTACTTCTATTCGTTTAAATTCCAATCACCAAATTTCGTAGACCTAAATTTTTTTGTTTCATTTTACAGTCTGAAAAATACATTCCTTCCACATGCAAACTGCTCTTGATGACATTTGGGCATATAAAAGTATCTTACGAGTAATAACTGCAGTATGCTTTATGAAAAATTGAAAAGCAATGACAGCTACAGGTCGTAGAACAAGTAAACCACCCAGCGTTCCGAGCAAGTTCCAAGTCTTCCATTTTCATAGCTGTTTTTTTTTTTTTTTTTCATGTTTTCACATCTGTCAACACTTATTTTTTGTCTGTTTCAATCCTCAAATATGTTTTCTTTCTTTTAAAAAGGTGTATGACTAACAAATCCAAATGATATCCCTCTGAATCAAACACAATTATTTTCCTCTCGTGAAATACACAACTTTAAAAAATGGCTGCCGCTTATATTTAACAAAGCCAGGTCTAATATAAATTCGAAGTAAGTAACAAAAAGATGGATGGATGGTATGAATTTTCTCCTACAAGAATTGTTTGTTTTTATTATTAAAACAATCGATCATTCATATTTTTTAAACAAAATAAATAATATCACTGTCATTTAACGTTAATTGTCGGACTTATTTTTCAGCTCAAGACTTCTTGTTTTTAATCAGAAATCCGCACTAAATGGGGCTCTAAATGGGAAAACAGATTTTAATATTTATGTTAATTTTATGGAAATTTCGTTTAAACTTGTTTATTAGCATAAAATAAAAAGAAAATTTGTTTGTTTGTTGTGTAAGATGTAATTTTATTTCACTCGGGAGAATACTGTTTTAAAGCCCACTCGATGAAATAAAATTTCATCTTACACGCAAACAAACAAATATCCTCTATATACATTAGTCCATCCTTCTTATTTATAATGTTAAACAATTGAATGGATATGTCGTGTAAAGGGATTTAAATACATACACATATATCTTAATTTATATACAAAATTTGAACTACCTGCCGACTAGTTTGACTGTATACTGATTGCAAATCTCACTTTAAGTTCCGGCATGTTATTTGAAAAGAGGTAATTTATGATAAATTGTACAATGATTATATAAGGGATAATTGTCCAGTTTGAACTAAAATGTGAAATTATAGAAAACTTGTGGAAGTAAAATATGTTTTAAACATCTGCGTATTAAACACGTAGTATATATTAAGCCAATATGAATTACTTCGAGTTACCGTAAAGTATGTATAATGTTAGACAAATGTCTTATTAACGTAAACAGCAACAGCAAGCCTGCGATTTATTCAAGTCGGTCATTCCCTTGTGCAGTTTTAGCCCTGCATAACAATGGAATCAACCACATAATTATAATACACAATAGCTATGACAGAAAAAGACACTATTGCAACTTTTCGAAGGGTTCCTTAACTGATCTTTTTGTCCATTTATTTTATCATTTTGGGAATATCATGTTACAATCCGTCAGTTTATGGCTTGATCCCACTTCATGCTTGTCCTGCTCTATTCTGAAAATACTGGCAGCAAATGCCTAGATGGTTTAGTATAAGCATCTTAAGGATAAGGATATCGGTAAAGTAGACCTGCGAAACAATTTGGGTTGTGGAAAAGCAGTGGCTGAACTCGAAACACTTCATTTACAATGTGCAGCCGGTTCCTCGCCTTTAAAGATATATTGCCTTTCAAGATATATCATGTTCAAACTTGATAATTAAAAATATTGGAAATTGCAACACTTTCTCTTTGTAAAAATAAAATAAACTTGTTTCGACTTTATACAATTTAGATATGTTATGTTTTAGAATAGGAGGTCACAATATGAATATATAGTGTCAGTAAATAAAACTGGCATATTTTTAAAGATTACAAAAAAAATCTTTAAAAGGGAATGCAGCTTGCAATACATAGTTTGTACAATAATTTATTAAAATTAAATAGTAAAGGTAAGTGTTTCGGTAAAGCGACGCAACTTTGGGTTGTAGAATAGCAATGGTTGAATCTTCAATGTACAGCTGGTTCCACGCTTTTAAAGATATGAATATCCTTGGTTCCCCGCCTTCAAAGATATATTATACCAGTTTCCCGCCTTTAGAGATATATTTATTTAATTTAATTTAATTTATTGTATTCTAAAATAATTTGTTATCGCGTGTTTAAGTTCTATAAATTTGTAAGGACGATTATCACCGCCGCATTTATAGGAAATATCTTTATAAGGTTTCCAAAAGAATGGGAGAGAACATCTGCTAACAGGTTTCGTGACCCACACAGTTTTCAACACGGGTTCGCATATTATCATTTCTTGATGTTACCTAAGACAAATACATGCCGTGAGGAAATAACGAGACCAATGTAAGTGATGGAACAAAATAAACTTAACGGCTTTTTAATATTTAGAAAAAATTTATACACCACAAAAACGTTTATTTTTTCAGTTTCTTAAACGGTATTCATAGTACAAAACTTGGCCTTTTAGAAAAATCGTTTTTATTTCTGAGACTTAGTATGCCTTCAATGATTTTTGGGAACGGCCAACTCTCTGATGTTGTTTAAATTTGTTGTTCGAACCTTTTGCTTATTATAAACAACTACAATATCCATCTAAATACTGTATTGTTTTTTCGATAAAACTTAGCCTTAGATTTACAAGTCACGTTGTATATGTTTTGTACAGAAAGAAAAAAATATATAAGATTAAACTAAACTAAGAATTGTGTGTTTTTAATTTATATTTCGCCTGCGATGAAAGCTTGAAACATATATGAACCACTCTCGAGTCCGCTTTTTGGAACATAATTATAAAAGACATGGTCCGTAGCCAAATGGTTTAGGTCGTTGACTCAAACAACTTGCCCCTCACCGCTGTGGTCCTTATCTTACCAGTAACCTTAGAATTTTTCTATGTGAGGAATAAATTAAGCTGACTTATGGAACATCGGTGGTTGTACTGAAAAAACGTGTGGGCAGATGAAGTAATCCTTCATCAGAAAACCTGAAGTTTCCATATGAACTTTTTTGTGTTGGTGCGACGTTAACTCCAACCAAAAAACTAAAATATGGGCGTGGCTTGTGTAAGGCTTCAACCATCAATTTATTTGTACTTTAAGTAAAATCTTCTTGTGAGACAGAGATGTCTTTTAATTGTCATGTTGTGTAAATAGAAAAGTTTTATATCATCTAAATGTATTTTCTTGTTTATTTTTGTATATTAAAAGTAATGATACATAAATTGTTTATTTAAAATGTTAGATTTTCAACTAGAATTACCTTGAAAAAAATATTTTACTGAATTAACAATGAATTAAGTGATTTCTTTAATGTCATGGGGATGATAAATAAGTTATACAAGTCTTATATTTTTACAGAGCGACAAGTTACAACGATTATGAAGACTATGCATATATTGCGACTGGAAACTTTCATCAATTACACACGTCGCTGGCCAACCTTTAGCGTAAAAAGAATAAGTATGAAAAACATACATACAACATCACCCGTCCCTTTTGTTTCAAAGCCAAACATTTTCATTTTAAAAATTCAAATAATATGTACTTATAACGGAGAAAATCAGTTATGGTTTGCCCATTAATTGGAACTGTTTAAAACAATATTACATTATTTTAGCTCAGATATTCGAAGAATAGGGAGTACTATTGTATTATTGCTCCGTCGACGTCGCCGTCAACTTTGGTTAAAGTTTTGCGTGCAAATTGATATCTCTAAAACTGATCAATATAAATGTTGCGGTTCCACACTAAATGTACCGTCAATGTACAATTTAATTTCAACTAAAATGTGACCAAATATTTTTATAAATTGTGGATGCAAAACAGTTCACTCCAACTCTTTCTTATGATGCGTTGTGATCAAGCTGATCATTATTCGTATTTACTTTCCGTTAAAGCCATCTAATCAAGGCCGTCTCAAAACTTATGTGGTGAGGTGGGGGCGATTTCAATTGTCGTAGGACTAAAATTTCTTTTCGAGCAACTGCCGAAGTATTAAAACTTCTTTTTTTTCAATTAGATGTGATAGTCCCTTTGTCGACGAACTGACGTATGCGACTAGATGTTGTATTCTACGAACTGTCGTATTCGACGAGATGTCGTGCGACGGAATGTCGTGCACAGCTCTAAAACTTCTGACGTGAATAAGTTGCTTGTCCATTGTAATTATCTACCCTGATGGACATTGTAACCATAACCCTTATTAAGTTTCCTTTTTACAGAGTTATGTCGTTTTTCTTTCTGTCAAAAACTGAATATAGTCGAGCGCGTGATCGATTCACAATATATATTTTTAAAGTCCATCCATGTTACCGTGTCAACAACCAATAATTTACAAGTTTACTTTTTGAAGAAATGAATTTACTTTTATTATTTAAGGATTTGCAGAAATTTAAGCAAAAAAAAATATTAACATTTTTGTATAACTCAGACTATCTTGTAAATTGACTGTTTGTAGAAATAATTTCAATCACTGTTCATTATTTAAAAAATATCAATTTAATCAATTTAATGAACACCAATAAACATTAACATATACATATAATATGAACATAAAATGTGAATATCTGTAGGACTATATAGCTACCATTTTAATTTTAAGATATCCCTTTGAATTAATATGTTACTGTATTACTCAATATTATTTGAATAGGTTTTAATCATTACTTTTTCAGGAAGTTCATATGTATAAATGATCACATGGGTAACGAAGTGAGTGACGTGGACGTTGCGCGTAACAGTGACGTCATAACAAAGTTCTTCAAAGAATATTTCCCAGAACGTTCAAAGTTTGAAAATGAATTGTGAAATAATAAAAAATTCGTAATTCATAAATATTCTGTGCGCTATGAAATACAAAAGTGAAAATCAAAGATTTGAATTAACACAGTCCTGCACATGTTTTATCTCTGCGGAATCTTCAAATATACCCGTTTTAAATGTTTAGGCCTAAATGTTGTGCTTACAACGGTGCTATGGGGGCTTTGAATGTTAAATCTATTGACTATTTAATCTATTGAAAGAGATGAGTACAATTAATACGGTACCACATTTGACGAAACTCTTTTGGATGTTGATAATATTTTTTTTTTCAAAATGCTTTAACTGATTTTGTGCTATTTATGAAAATAATATTACAAAAGGAACACTATATTGTGTGCAAAGATATAAATAGAAGTTCTAAATAAATACAAAAGCAATATTGAGATTCGTTCGTTATTTTCAAAATATATTCAGTATGGAATAATTAAGAAGTCCAGGTGGGGTCTGTCATGGAAATTCTTAACTAGAGACAGAAGTCCAACATATTTTTAGACTCAAACACTACCGTCAAGATGGTGTGGGGTATAATAAATTGGTTATAAATATTCCTGACAAATTATATGACCGTATATAAATGGTTGTTTGCAATATAAAGACTTGGGATATATTGCCAAACTACCGTTTATATACAGCCATATAACCTGTCAAAGATTTTTACACCAATAAAGTTTCCAAACAGAAAATTGTCTCTAGAAATTAATCATTAACACATTCCTCTGTGACAATAATCGTTTCCGTGCTACTTCTCTGTAACTACTGGCTGGAATTTAATGAAACTTTATGGGATACTAAGAGGAGATGTGCATATAGTCGCCTTGTTCCGGTCAGATACTTATAACTCAGATTTACGGCCCTTGATTAGTTATGCAGTATTTCATTGGTGGCAGCAACCACAAGTGAAACATAATAATTATTATATCGAAAAAAGTAGGCAAGACACCAATGAAACCACGAAAATATGTTTCACTGCAGTGATTTTTTAAAATAAAAAGTAATATACGTTAAATGAAAAAAAAACACATTTAATTTCATCAATGTTTTGTCAACATTTCATTTAAAAGTATATAATGAATCTAGAAATTGCCTGATACTTGATGAAATCAAAATGTCACTTAATATCAGGAAAATGTAAACGGTTGGAGATTGTTTAATCAGTTATTAGAAATACAGGTAAACTATGTGGGACAAACAAAGGCCTTTTTCTGCCGACCGATTCCAATATGGACATGCATACAGATTATTTACGTTCAGAAATTACTATAAATTAAACTACATGTACCTCTGACACCGATTTTTGTATATTTAGATCTACACATTTTGTTTAATTATTCTTTTTTGTACGTATTGTTTATTATACGCATTTTTCTTATATCAAAAAATCAATAGCTTACTATATAATAATAAGTTCACCATATGTAATGTCATGATTCAAGTTGTACTTTGAGATATTGTATGCTGTTCATCATTGTGACTTTGTATGTTTTATAATAATTGGCTTCTTTGCGTATTAATAAACTAATATATAAGGATGCATAGTTGTGTGTTATAAGCAACACATTGGTCGCAAGAGATTAAATGTATGTCACAGCTCGAATGTGTAACATGTGTTGATGTTCGCTTACAAACCCTGTTACAAGTAGAGAAACTGATAGCGAACAGCATGGATCCTGATCAGAATGGTCTAGATCCATGCTGGTCCCAAACCCATTATGTTGGTTTTGTCATGACGCTGCTCATTTCATTTGGTTCTACTAAAGATATGCAGTGCACATCTGGCCATTCATTCGCAGCCGTTTTACGAAAAATTGGACAGTGATAGCATAAATATATATATATATATATAGATATATATATATATATATATATATATATATATATATATATATATATATATATATATATATATATATATATATATATATATATATATATATATATATATATGTCACATGATCTTTACCGTCATCGTAATCAAAATATTTTTACACTTTAACATACATAATAATTCAATCATAAAACGACCACCATTCACAAAAAGCAAGATAACATAATAAGAATTTCGATTGGTGCAAATCAAATCAGACGGTACAAAATTTAATCTCTGATGAACATTAGCCTTTTCTTTATTAATAAGCAGTTATTTATGGTGGCTGATTTGTGCCATACGTGTTTTCACCCCGCGACCCCGCCGTTTAATTTCTTAAATCTTGCCTCGCACCCCTGCTTATTTGCGTGTTTTCGCTCCGCGCCCCCGCCAATTCTCAACCTTTAGCTTGGCGGAGTCGCGGGGAAAAACAGATTTGACATTGACCATATGACTATATTACATGATTATTTGTTATACTATATATACACTATGTACGCATAGTTACACTTCCCAGGTGTAATCTGAAATAAACTCTTCGAACTCTTTTAAATAAAGTAACACTGCTTTTGTCTCGTGATAATTATACTTCGTGCTCGCAATATATTCTTTTTCCTTTACAGAAAAAATGCTCTAGGCTAAATGTGCTTTAAACAAAATGTAAAAAAAAACCTATCACATTTGCAAAAAGTATTAGCAAACATACGCTGGTAGGTATTGAAGCATTGTATTGATGCTTGGTCACTCCCATTCACCCATGTGAAAACGATATCGACTGGCTTTGAAAATCTTCAAAACACAACGAAATAGCTTACACTCATGTCATATAATTATTTGTCGGTTATCAATGGAAGAAAATGTATTAAGCCAAATATACAAAGCTCACTTTTATTATACGGAGAATATTTTAATTTATTTATTAATTGTAATTTTAGCAAAACATAACATTGGTAAGCTAAATCTGTTACTGAATTTTTTAAAGAATATTTTAATGTATTAATACGAGTTAAAGTTTGTTACCTTACAGAAATTTGGCATCTGTTTGCATCCACCTTGGTGATTTTCTGAACGTCAGATTTTCTATATTCTGGTAAATGTTTATTTTCAATGTTGAGTATACAAATTTTATAGCTCGTATTATTACGATGTACAGTACGAAAATAAGTTACTCACTCACTCACTCACTCACTCACTCACTCACTCACTCACTCACTCACTCACTCACTCACTCACTCACTCACCAACTCACTCACTCACTCACCAACTCACTCACTCACTCACTCACTCACTCACTCACTCACTCACTCTCTCACTCACTCACTCACTCACCAACTCACTCACTCACTCACTCACTCACTCACTCACTCACTCACTCACCCACCAATTCACCAACTCACTCACTCACTCACTCACTCACCAACTCACTCACTCACTCACTCACTCACTCACCCAACAACTCACCAACTCACTCACTCACTCACGCACTTACTCACTCACTCACTCTCTTACTTTCTACCTTCACCTACTATAACTTTACTTTTATTCTATACTTCCTTACTTAATATCATAAACTTATATTATGCTATGTTACCAAGTTAGCATGATTGTATCCTTTTCTTGAAAATTAAGGTTGTTCAAATAAATAAATAAATAAATAAATAAATAAATAAATAAATAAATAAGTAAATAAATGAATAAATAAATAAGGAAAGAAAAGAAGAAAAATAAATAGATAAATAATAATTATATAAAAAAAAGCAAAATGTTTATATAAATAATTTAATAAAGCAAGTATGTTTATATGATACGCAACCGTATTTTAGCCAAATATCCAGTATAGTAAATGAAATATATCAACCAAAAAAGAAACGAGATAAATAATCTCAATTTGTTAAACACCGATATTCTGTGAACATTTTTTCATTTTTTTGTACAGCAAGTTATTAAAAAGAAACCTGTTACGTGTATGGTCTTTTCTATCGGGATATCACATCGCATGATCTGGGCATGCGCTAACATCTTATTGAATTTGTTCGAAAAAAGCTTCTGATAATATATATGATTCAATTTCGATTTCTATGGTAATTCAGTGATATGATTTACTATTTTCGTTGAAATCAAGTAACCCCATGGGCGGGGTCGTATTTGGCGTCATAATTTAAACCAACTTGACATAGGGCCTACTTACACAC